GTGGCGTGTTTTGTAAAAAAAGAAATGGCCCTGTAGCATAAAAAGTTACGATTAATTGTGAAACTCGAAAATAATCTTTTTCCTGTTACGATAGATAGTAACTGGTGATTAAATTTATGTACAGATAGATAGGATGGATTGGTATGAGATAATTAACGGCAGCAAAACCTGAAATACCATTGATTTTACGATTGTAAGTCAATTTTTCATCTTACAGAGCCCATAACGGATAAGAAAATTACAAACTGAAAACTTAAAAAAAAGAAAAATATAATAAAATGAGGAATCACATTTCTATGACAACATAACAGGACGATGCCTGTCACAATAGTTTATGATGAAAAACAAACTTCACAAAAAGCACCGTTGTATGTGTTTTGTAAAGTTCATGAAATTAGGTTAGTGCCCCTACCGCCAACACCCCCGCCCCTTCTCTCTCTCTCTCTCTCTCTCTCTCTCTCTCTCTCTCTCTCTCTCTCTCTCTCTCTCTCTAAGAATAGAGTTTATTTAAGGACCAACATGGCAAAATTGTTGACTTTAATTGAAAAAGGGAAATCAAATCTGCGAACTAGGAAACTAATAACGATATTAATAGTCCGGATATGAGGTTTTGATTCGGATTACACCAAATAACGCAATCTTTCACGAATGTTATACCCCTTTTTGAAATGGATAAAGTAACAATATCCAACAATTATTATTTGATGTTGAGAACACGTCTCCTTTAAATTAGAAGCATATATTTCGTTGTTGAGAACTTACATGTGTTGTTCTCGCGTTTCGGAAACTGTCATCGCATAAAATGGGAGCTCATGCCGGCCGAAATGAAGCTGGATATTATTCAAAGATGGTCATGATCGTGTAGGACTTAACTCGGCAATACTCACGATACTTGGGATATTGTTTTTCCTGACTCGAATTGCTGGATATGGGTCGCTCGACAGCACAGACCCCCTTGGTTTGGGGGAATATGTCGTTTTGGGGGGATAAATATCGCGGATTTGGGCCAGCGATGAGAGACGGAGTTAAGGAGTACGATTTCCTCCGCGTCAGCTCAGATAGTTCAAGGCAAATGAAGATCAAGATATGGTTTATGAAATCAATATTTTCATACATCAGCCGTATCATTGCTTTATGTCGATGGAAAAAAGAAAGAAATAGAATCCATCCCTCCTAACGTGTTCCGCTGTATCCTACATTCGTGCTCGCTAGTGATTTAGTTAACGTGACACTGAAACCCAAAATTCTATATTATTTAGACAGACATTCATGTTGATGTAACGTCAACATAACGTGAGCATTGTAAGCCTACATAACTTGATGCATGCTATTTCGTTTTGAACAATTTAGCTCTTCCATCACGTATTGTTATTTTCAAATGAAAATTGAGAAAAGTGTGACTTGAGTTGAAGGCCGATCAGCTTGTTTTATTAGTCCAGGTTGAACAGCGGCGGTGGATGAAATTCAATCGGAATATGTTTTTATAACGTTCCTAGCTCCCAAGTCGAGATGGATAATAACAAATAAAAATAGGACAAGTTTGCGATCGACGCACTTGAAAATACGATGTGATCTAATGAAATCAATCAATGGGTGAGTAAATCCTAAACAACGATGCATAAATAGCCGGCTTTTGCAACTTGATCTGAGCGAAATGGCATTGTAATTGGCCGGGCGAGTGTCGGGAGACCTTTCATGGAGATGCTTGGAATGAGATGAGAATGTGTTCGGGTGTAAAGTGATGTTCGGGGATGCTGGCCGTGTCTCGGGATGATGATGGAGCTGGCGAAGATCTTAGGAGTTGGAGGTTCAAAGAACATGGGGAGCAGTTGTAGTAATTACGTCTTCCAAAATCATGCTTTTCATTCGAAAATTGGGAATCAGCAGCTACGAATGCAACAGTTAAACAAAAACAGTTAAATGTAAAGGATTGATTGTTAAACCGAACATTTCCAGAAGAAAAAAGAATTTACGAGAGGAAGAAGGAAATGAAAATGAAGGAAGCCAAGAAGCCAAAAGAGGGAAGAAGACTAATGGACTAGACTGAAGAAAACAAAAGCAGTAGGAAGAGCGAAAACACGTTGATGGAAGATGATGACGAGGAGGAGCAGGAGCAGGAGGAGGAGCAGGAGATGAAGAAGAAGAGAAAGAAAGTGTATAAGGGGTAGAAAGAGGAGGTGGAGGGTTGTGATAATGATACTGAAGGTTGTCATAGTGATGATAATGATGATGACAATATTCGTGAGAGCCGAGAAAAGAATGTCGAAAACAACAATTAAATGACTAAAATTGAATGGTGGTCATAAAACATTTACATGTAAAAACAAATCATGACTACACGCAACATATTTATTCAGCCCGCCATGGTCAAGATGTAATAGGTTGTACCTCTCGCTCCATCCTGTTACCAAGGTTAACATGTCAGTTCAAGGATGTGGGGGGGAGGAGGAGGAGGAGGTAATCTGGAATAGGTCTCACTTTGTATTAGGTCCATGCTTCAATCCATGAAGGGAACGTTCAAGGGTAACCAATAGCCCAGTGATTATGAAACGAATGCATGTAATTCGATGTAAATGGTCGAGGGCGAGAGCACCAGATGGACTCGAGAATAGCAGCCGATGAGAGATGGGGAGAGCGTGAAGAAATAGCTGATGGAGAGTCAGCTGGAAGAGAAAAAGGGAGAGATGGATAGAGAGGGACAATGGAGAGGGGAGCAGATGGAGAGAGAGAGAGAGAGAAAGAGGGGGAGAGAGAGAGAGAGGGAGAGAGAGGGAAGAGGGGAGGAGAATTTTGTTTAATTGTGATAGTTTCAGTATTAAAGGGATCCGATAACTCTGTCTCAGACTCTGAAACAAAATCCTGGATTTAGCTCATTCTGCAATGATAATTATAAACCTTTAGGTCTGTCAGGAATCCCATGACTTTTACAAGCCGATCGCCTGTCTGATTATTAAGATATTTATGATTGGAATTACAAATCTTACACTACAGTCTACTGGGGAAAACGAGTATGGTAAAACCGGTCACTCATAGATTTTTATTTTTTGAGGCACTTCTTGACCGTTTTGAAGCGCCTTTTTTTTTTTTTTAGGGCTTCAATATTACACCATTAATATCACAGACACTTATAACACGTGGGGCCGTTCATCTCAGATTTAACATTGTTAAACGATGCCTTTAATTTCCGACGCAGAAATTTAATGTTTAAGCTGTGAGTTGAATGTATGAACAGAGTCGGGAACAAATGAATATCTGAATCGTGAAAGGCGGGTTGTGGTGGGGCGAAGTCGGATACCAAACGATTAAATGAATTAGATAAATGAAGTGGTTGGGAATTTTCTTTCATGATTCCACTTACCTTATCAACAATTTGCTCAGTACAATGAGACTCGACAAAAGCTAATTCTACCCCAAGTATGCGCTTTGCTCTTTTACGTGGCCTTTCCAATTTCTTCTTGTCCTGTTTTGTGAGATTGCCAAATGAACATATGATATTTAAAAGCAGGACGGACACTCTTTATTATTGAATTGTAGAACATGGTCAGGATTGTTGCATCTATATGGAAAATTTTCAACTTACGCAGGAAAAAAAAAAGAGAATGACGCAGTATCAATCCAAATTCATCCTGTCACTAGGGTAACCCCTCGTTCGAGGCGGTCTCGAAATTCCTATAAAAACTGTTAAACTTGCGTTCCCATTTATTACAGCTAGTTTGTGTCCACAGATATTATCGGCCGATTGCCGCCCAGTCGTGAACAAAATAAGTTTAGGGGGATTTATGGTTTTAAGGTTTTATTAACGCTATCATGACTATAAATAATTTACTTAACCTTCGCTGTTGTCGGAAGGACCCCAAAGATCAACTGCTCGGGCTTGCACGTGCTCTTCGGATTTCAAGACTTAATGTTTCTAGTTTGATGGCTTAATTTCGAAGTCCATATAAGAAAATATGTTACAGATTGTTTGATTGATGCCATATTTAAAGGGCTTAATGGTGCTTCGACCCCGGTCCGAAGCTCATAAATTCTCGCTTTATGTCTCCGGTTGTCCCCTGCTATTATTTCAAACGACCATCCAAACTTTGCCAGCTTGCGTCTGTTTGTAGAAGGTTGCGCAAGTATAATGGTCATGGTAATCTACTCGCACAATCATTTATTTCATAACCACGTAGCTGATAATGATTTAAAATGTCGTCCAACCTGGCGGGGAGGGCGCTATGAGACCTGTTGGGTCTCAGGTGAGGATTTAACATCAAGAGGATTTATTCTGTTCCTGACGCTGGTGTGTATCGACTTATTTTGTGAGCTGCGCTGTCGCATGGGTCACGAATTTCTGGCACCGAGAAAGCAAATCGATTGGCGTTAGCCTTTTGCCTTTTCCGAGTCTTCACAATGTTTGATTATGTAATGATGACTGAATTAATTTACTGCAAAATATAACTCAATATATTTCATTATTATAGTTAACGGTAAAACAAATTCAGAAAAAAAAGCACAAAGAAATATTACATATGGTAGGATTAACAATGGGAAAACGTGATAAAACTTATTTGAAAACAGAAGAAGAAGAAGAAACATTTCTACAAAGAGAAAGAAGAAAGAGGGATACTACTATATTGACTAGAAACGAACATTTTTTGTTTTAGAACAACTCGAAAACCGGAAAATAATGACGAACTAACTGTCTTTACAAAAACTGATATCTTTTATCTGCGTAAGTGCAGTGTCGGTTCGTATGCGTCAGAGCCATCTATACACAGAGTTTGGCCAACCCGGTTCGAGTTGGACACAATTTGGCGACTGCTTTGTTGGGCAAGCACATAACAAAAGAATATACGCCATGTTGAGACTCAGTGAAACCAAGTTGGCCAAACTATGTATATAGATGGCTCTGGTATGCGTGAATCATGCATTAATCATCAAATGTTCCGAGCAAACGAAACTAAAATGCTTTTTATTCCCTTTCTCTTATCCTTTTTCTTTTCTTTTCTTTTCTGCAGGAAATCCCGAAATGGCATACATACAAGCCCTGGTATCGGCGGGCATCATGTACGACGTCACAAAGGCGTGTGGCACCGGCACCATCCTCCAGTGTGGATGCGATAGGGTGTTCGGCCAGGATAACCCCGACGTCGAGTGGAAATGGGGCGGGTGCTCGGACAATCTCGAGTATGGGAATCATTTTACAGAGACGTTCATTGATGACTCCGTGACTAAAAAGACGGCAGCCGACCTGATGGCGGTACAGAATTACAAAGCTGGAAGAAAGGTGGGTATTATAATTAATGTCCCTATTTTTGACATATTGGCGTGCCCATAATGTGGTGGAGCCGGATTCCACCCTTCCCCAGGCTTGAAGGCCGTACAGAAAATCATTATGTATAGCTGGTTTATGTCATGCAGGCAGTCCATGGAACCTCCCCCCCCCCCCCCCTGTCTTGCCTGTTTAGGGAGGATTTTGCCCCTCAGGCCCTTCAATATTCCACTGTGCCACATTCTCAGTGTTGCACTTTGTAATTGCCCATTTGTAGTCCTTAGTAATTAAGTTTACCGATATAAATCAAACTTATTTAATTCCGTACCAGTAACACGCCTGCCTTTTCATACGCATGACGGGAAGAGTGGAACCCTTGATACATCTAAATCAGGAAGTAAGAACTAATTTCAAAGCCATTTTCTCTTCATTTTGTGTAAGTTCATCGCTTCTCCACCCATCTATCCATGTGGTCATTCTATCCCGAAAATGTCCCCTCTAGCAACGGCCTCACCCTGTTCCCCTCACTACCCCCCCCCCCCACCCCCTCCCTTCACCCTCCCGGTTTTACAAACGTCCTACAGACCTACAGCAGATGCAGTGATTAACGTAAAAAAACAAACGGGTGATGGATAGGGGACGTTAAATTAATATTATTAAATCAATGAGTTTAGAGAATGCATAAAACTCTTGAGACAGACCATGGCGGCATTTGGATACATTAAAGGTATAATCGCGGCTTTAAAGGAAAAAGAAATTAACTTTATTATATTATTTAGAACGAGAAAGGGGTGAAGAATAAGTTCAGATAAGAAAGTAAGATGAAATGATCCCCCATATGTAGTTTTAACTTCATTCGTTTGCTTCCTATTTTGTTTAGTATCATACTTTTAACTGTCCTCTTTCCTTACCCCCAGTTTCTCTTTTTCTTCCTCATCTCTCTCACTTATTCGTATTTTCATCTAGATGACTCAAAAGAGCAGTATCTGAAACAATTTTTGCGACTTGCCAGTTAGTTATTTTATTAGTTATTTCTTTTGTTCTAAACCTACATGTACCATACCTTTATAATTTTCATTGGTTCTTTTAGTTAGTCTCGCAGTTCAAGATACCTGCATTCTTTGTTAGGCTTAGGTTTAAACACAGCGTTTTTTTTTTATGAAAAAGAGCCTAGAACATAATAAGCGAAACGGTGGAATGTAACTTTAAGGCAACCGTAAATTCCTCCCAATGAGTGTATTGCCCTGGGCGTGCTAAAAGCGATGACACCGATTTCTCATGTGCTTCAAGTTCATGCACCTTCACAGTCGAGGTTTCCTCATCGTGTCGAATCAAAAGCTCCTCCCTACCTAGGAGAATTACTCTTACGACGCTAACGCTTCAAAAGACACAAAACAACGATCCAGATTTGCGAAAAGAGGGGTGTTATTTCTGGCGCGGGCTCTCTCACACCGTCTAACGACCCCCTAAAGATCGATTGACTGGGGGTGATACCCTGTTGCTATGACGACCAAGTCAAGATGGTCGCCAGGTTGAACCGAAGAAATACGTTTAGTCATGCCATGATGTATGTAGGGAGAATGACGTCTTTGTAGATATTACCAGAAGGCTTAAAAACAAAATAATGTATTGAGGGCATGGCGCCCTAAGCTGTTCATGATGAACATTGAGAACATTGTAGATTTTAAAGATATCAAACATATGAACGGATTACCAAATTATGAATACTTTCAGTATGTGTTTCCTTCGCTCATTCCATGGTGGGGCGATGTCACCCCCTCCCCCCTCAAAATTAGGTGCTCTTAACATATCTGTAGATGTCGCTTTTATAGTTGGCACAACTGTGCGTCTATAGTGGGACCACAAGGTAGTCGGGCACAGCTCGAGGAGAACTCGGGAAATTTCGGCAACACCAGACATTAATGTTTTTTAACATGTCCAAAAAAAAAATCTATCTCAAGATCTATATAGGGGCTTTGTATGGGTAAACGATACACCTAGCTCGGTGCACAACTCGGTGCCCAACTCGGCGCTCAACTTGGCACCAATTTCGGCACCCTATCGGCACCCTTTTCGGCACCCGATCGGCACCCACTTCGGCACCCACTTCGGCACCCACTTCGGCACCCAATCAGCACCCACAGTCGGCTCTAAACTCTGGAGAAAAAACAAAACTCTCGTAAAGCCTTACGCACGCTATACCGAGCTAGGCAAGACGGTCCTCAGTTCATACTAAATCATGACCATTATTAACTCGGAGTGTCTCAAACCAAACTCCTACGATTGCGAAGAATCTGAAGCTTGGGCACCCAACCTTACCCGTGCGAGTCGTGAATATTAAGCATCATCGATGAATGTGTGAAAAATACTTACTCCAAATGATTTCCCATTTGAATATGAATGACACTTAAACGTTGTGTCTTGAGTTTCTTCGAGAATATTCATTGTCTTTTGTTTTTGTTTTGTTTTTTTAATTTCCATTCTCAGATCATCGAAAAGAACATGTCGATTAAGTGCAAGTGTCACGGTGTCTCCGGATCCTGCACGTCACAGGTCTGTTGGAATGCCATGCCCAAGTTACGTCAAATCAGCGAGGCCCTTTTGAAATCTCACATCCAGGCTTACCACATGATGTACTCAAAACGGAGCCTCAAGCTGCGTCCCCTTCAAGAGCGGAACCGAAACCCTTCCAAAACGGACATCGTGTATCTCACCCCGTCCCCCGACTACTGCGAGCCCAACAAGCGGCACGGGTCGCTGGGCACGCACGGGCGGCGGTGCAACAAAACTAGCACCGGTGTGAACGGGTGCAGGCTCATGTGTTGTGGGCGTGGCTATCAAACTATGCTAAGGCACGTGACTGAAAGTTGCCATTGTCGATTCCAGTGGTGTTGCTCGGTGGAATGTGAGACATGTAGTCGCGTTGAGGAGCTACATGTATGTAACTGATGCCTCTCAATACACCATTGTATAATTGAACATTTTTACGTAAAATGAATATATTTAAGAAGTCTTTAATGAAAAAAAATGTTGATATTATTGCATATCTATATATTTTGGTGCTGTTATTCACTGTTTTGTTCTCATGAAATTGTCTGTTTCTCTGATGACAATAGTTCAACGGTAGGGCACACTTTCCCTTGACATATTAAATGTACATGTATAATTGAAAGAATTTTCAGTTGAAACCGATACATACCTATCAATTCAATGGCCGAATCAATGACGTCACATATCTATTTAAAAATGGATGATGAGCTGAAAGTGTATGTTTTATGGCATAACTGTGCATGGAACTTTGAGATGTAACACAATAATTTGTTCAGGTATGTCAGGGTTCAAACTGATAAAACGATGATTTACTCATGAAATGTGATTCATGTTATATTATTTGGTTTGTATGAAGGTTTTTTTATGACTAAAGTTATTTATGTGCCTCTCCTACATACATAGAAAATAGTCATATGGGTGACAATGTTGATAAGGAATTGACAAAGTATCAACTGCTAAATTAAGAATAGATATTAATAAATTCAATAATGGTCATTAGCATAAGTCCCCTTTGTTGCATACCAAACCTCTGATAAATGTGCAGTTCCATTTGCATTTGCATTATTACAGACTTAGATACATATTAAACCTGCTTACAGTGTTAAGTCCACATGGACTACGCCCTCTTCATCAGTAATTAAATTGACGATGATAATGATAATAACATTAATAATTTTTTTTAATACTAATGATAATAATAATAATGATAGTGTAGTGTTGTATAAATATAATTTCTTCGGATTTAGCACGGCTGCCATTACAGACCTCGAGCATTACAAGGTCAAGTACCAATTTTTAGGCCAATTTGCCTCACCTGGGTGGAGTGTGGAAAATGTAAATTAATGTCTTGCCGAAGGATACTGGTGCTGCGACAGGGATTCGAACCCCGTATCGTGTGTGGTTCACAACCCGGAGACTTATCTAATGGACCACAACATCTCAAAGAATTGTTTTGATTAGTATGTTTGGATTAATTTTGTTTTTATTAGTATGTTATGGTTAATATTTGTTGATTGTTATGTCCTCTAATTGTGCACCCCGGAAGCAAGTTTAACCCCCCCCCCCCCAAAAAAAGACACCTTTGGGGTGCTTCACAAAGACTAAGATTCACTTTAAGTTGGACTTAACTATGGCAGGCCATTCATGCCACTGGTTGCTCTCACTATTGGTCTTTCAATTATGATCTTTAGATAATATGTTTTTCTTTAATAATAATAAAAAACTATCAAAAAATGTAAATTCTGTAGATATGTGACCACGATTTATACGTCCCTTCAGAGACCGATGCCAGTAAATGGTAAGAGCAAACAGTGGCATGAACAGCCTGCCATAGTTAAGTCCAACGTAAAGTCGATCTATGTCTTTGTGAAACACCGCCATGGTGTGATTACCTTTTTAAAATTGTTTTCGGATTAGTACCTTCCGCCCCCCCCCCCCCGTTTTTTCCACCATTCACAGAGTCCGCCAGTGATTTTGTCAACCACTTTATCACCAAATGACGAAACTTCAGCAGCTATACTCTCCATGAACAGTACCACCATCAACCCCAACTATAGTTATCCTTGTGGACAGACAGAAATATACAATACTGTAAAATCAAAGACAATTTGTGCCTTAATCAATGCTCTTTCTCACCCATTGTCCAAGTTAAGATCATTTCTAGTTTGATCTTAAATGCCATTACCATTGTTACAGTGTGAACCTAAAGTTTTGATTTCATTTCTTCCATACATATTTTTAAGCTTACATGAAGGAATTCAAAGAGGGAATGTGCAAGAATATAAAGTACATCATTGCTTCCTCGCGAGATCAAACCACAAAATGATGGAAAAATCTAAAAGAATTTTGATGGGATATTAACGAGAAAGTAGAATTTGTCAGGGAACGTCAACATTCCTTTTAAAATACGTGCCTTTAGTCTTTACATTTGAAGTTTTTAGGAAAAAGCGGCATCGCTTGAAATGAACCAGCCAATTACAATTCTTACCATCAATACCTTTAATAACAAATTGTAGCTGTATTTCTCAAAACTCCTAAGCAAGTTCAAACGTTGTCAAGTGTGTAATCATCATCAGCATCGATCAGGGGCGGATCCAGGGGGGGGGGTCGTGGGGCTAAATGCCCTCCCCCCCCCCCTTTTTTTTTTCTTCCGAAAAAAATATTCACTTAAATGTTCAGTTTACGCATTCAGAAATGCTTAAGAATGTACCATAGAGCATCTTAAGGTTCCAAATTTTCCGGCCCTTCAGCGGGCCCCTCCACGCCGTTACGGGTTCGCGCTCGCAATTTCGTACATTTCACCCCCCCCCCCCCTGTTTTTTGGGGGAAAACCTGGATCTGCCCATGTTGATGGGTTATAATGTAACAAGCTAAACGGTTTTATGTTGATTGAGTGATTTGTAAGCTCTAAGCTAGAGTGATCAGCTGGTCAACATTTCGAGTAAAAATTTGGGAGGTAATTATCTTACAGTTTTACGATAATAGCGCGTTAACTGACATTGGTTAAGTTATTGGTATCTCTCTGGTGTTTCAGAAAGCTTTATTTTGGGAAAAAATTGTTTTCAATTGAGAAATTGTACATTGCTTTCATGTAAATTAACACCATAAACAACTGATAAATACAGAAAGATATGTTAGCATGACATCATGAGTATGTCTTGACTTGTATTTATATATTATAATGGGGTGACTATGGGTCAAAAGCTCACTCATTTTCTTCTCATTCTTCTCATGAGCTTCAGAGCCTGGCGGATACCGGCACTAGATAAATATCCATATTATTATTATTATTGTTTTCTTCTTCAAGATATTATTGTTCCCCCTGGCCTCCTCTCTTTCCTGCAAATCTATAAGTCACATTTCATTTATATTGACGAAACTCCATGGCGGTGTAAAACGTGGAATCACATTATCAGGACAGTGACGTCATTTGGGCAAGTTAACAATGAAATTCATCATGTTCATTATCAAAATTAAACTAGTATTTTTAGAATGTTGAGCAATGTACTGCGACCAATGAATGTTCTACTGAATTTATGATTCAATAAGCGATTGCCTTATACACATGGATAAAATATTTCCAAGGTCAATAAAATGTTTTTCAATAAAGACATTTCATCAATTGTATGACTGTTTGGTCTCCTTCCCTTGTTTTCCAGATAAATCTCTTCATTGTCATTTTCTGCCTTCATTTTTCTTTCCTTCGCTACATTTTCATCTTATTCTTCTTCTGTTTTCCTTGCTCTTTTTTCTGCTTTGTTTTCTTATTAATTCTTAATTTTCTTCTTTTTTATGGCTCCTTTTTTTCTGCTTCGTCTTTTGTTCTTCTTCTTCATTTTCTTGTCTCCCTTCTACTTCACGTTTGTTTACCGTAACTGTGATAATAATGGAATTAATTATGATGATGATAATGATGATGATGATGATGATGATGAGGAGGAGGAGGAGGAGGAGGAGGAGGAGGAGGAGGAGGAGGAGGAAGATGGTGATGGTGATCATGGTGATGTGAAGCAATATGTTTCCTCAAATTTAAAAAGAAATAGCAGCCTATCATTTTTAAACAGCTGAAATATAATTCAATATTTTGTTCAATGAACTGTCATTTCAGAGTCGATGCGAATTAAAATGATAACGAAATACATTTTTTCAAGCATAATCTTTTAGTCGTATCGGTGCCTCTTTTACATTGGATGCAATTGCTCATCTCGATTTATAAGACTCTAAAGAGTTAGTAGAGCTATCGTTTCGACGTACCCATCTCCTCACAGTAAAAGCATGGAGTCCATGGTGAAAGCATCACATCTTCTGATAGAGCTGTTAAGGAGACATTTCAGGTCTTGATATCATGTTATGTATCCGATCTATAAAACGATCCATTGGGGCATAGGCCTACACTCATCTGCCATCATTCATCCGGTATGAGATCCGATATAGTCATCCGATATGAGATGGGTGTGAGTTTCAGGGTAGAAGAAGTCATTGTCTGGGGTGTCTTCCTGCCCCCTTTCACTGCACCCTGAAGGGGTTAAACACTGTCTGAGGGAGCATCAATACCCCCCCCCCCCCCCCCACACCACACACACACTTTCGCAGACCCCACCGTATGCCCGCCACGAAACACTAAGTTATGGAATGTACAGGATGATCAAATATTGACATGTAAAAAAAATAGATGTCACTGTCCGATTGACTAATTGACTCATGCACTCATTGAAGTAATGACTGATTGATGGATGGATGGATGGACTGATTGATTGATTGATTGATTGATTGATTGATTGAATGATTGATTGATTGAATGATTGTTTTAATAATTGATTGATTGACTGATTATATGGTTAGTTGATTGATTGATTGATTGATTGATTGATTGATTGAATGATTGATCGATTGAATGATTGTTTTAATAATTGATTAATTGACTGATTATATGGTTAGTTGATTGATTGATTGGATGATTGCTTAATTGGTTGGTTGGTTTGTTTGTTGGTTGGTTAGTTGGTTAGTTGGTTGGTTGGTTGGTTGGATGATTGATTGGTCGTTTACCTGATTTTGTATTGATTGATTGATTGATTGCATAATTAGATATATATAGAAAGATAGATAGATAGATTTTTAGTTTCGATTTCAGTTTATTTTTACATTATATTTAAAATTGTCAATGATCTTACAAAGTAAAATGGTACAAAAACATAAATTGAGTACCTCACATCAATTTGTTCGAAATACTAAAATAAGAAGAGGAGTGAAATATGGAGGGGCTTATGGTGGAAGCTATGCTTGTTAGTTGTAAGCCCCGAAGGGTAGTTAAGTTTATGGTATTCTTTAAAAATAGAGGGAACGAGCAATTAATGTCAATCGCAGTAATATAATTCTCTTTAAAAAAGGCAATTATTGAGTCACTTTTATTATAATACTTTAACAAATGTACATGGATAGATGAATGAATAGATAGATAGACGTGATAGATGAATTTATGGATGCATGCACGCATTGATTTAGTGATAGGTTTATGGAAGGATTGATTCATTCATTCATTCATTTCTTCATTTCATGTATTCCTTCCTTCTTCACATTCGATTTAACATCTGAATTTAGAGTAGAATAAAACAGAACTTGAGATGGATTTTTTGTTTTAGAAAGAGATAAAAAAGAGATGGAATGGGGTAATACAGAAATATATATATATATATGTATTTATGTCTATATAGAGAAGGGGGCTAGTGGGGGAGAGAGAGAGATAGAGAGAGGAAAACTAAACGGAGAAGCTTGAAACTATGGGAAGGGAGGCGCATTCAGAGAGGAGAGGGTAGGAGCGAGGCAAAAATATTCGTTAAAGACAGACAAATCGCGTTGAAAATATTCTTCCAATTAAGTTGACGTGGATATACGTTCCTTCTTAGACATACATAGTATGCATGCTCTAGATATCACTTGATACATGTAGGCCACGTTAAACCTCTACATATCCCCATCTTAACCATGGCCTCATGGTATGGGTCCGGTTCGAAATGAAAAGAAGATATGTTGAGTTGATGACAGCTCTCTCAATCAGCTCTCCCGTGTATGGGATTTCCCGTTGATCTTGCCCGGTCACGGAATCGGGGATTTGCCCGCAGAGAGCGGCTGACGAAAACAGTCAAAAAGCGGGGGCTTTTTTAAGGCTTGTATGGAAA